CATTCATTTTCTTCGCGTCGCGTTGTGTTACGTCGCGGTTGTTTTTGCTTTCACGTTCATATCGTGTCCTGCTGTGTATTACAATTTTTTTGTTGTTTTTGGGAAAGCTTTTGCGGTCGCTTCTTTTTTATTTATCGAGTACACAACATATCTTGTTGCTCCATCATATCATTTAAGTGTGTGTGTGTGTGTGTGCGCGGTTGTTTGTTTGGGAAATTATTGCTGCTATGTTGTTCCCTCCCTCCTAACTAGACAACAAAAGTAAAAAAAGTATTGAAAATAAACTATAAATAGTTTTTGTTTTTTTTTTATTATTGTGTGATTATTGTTATCATCATTGCCATCGGAAAAAAATATTTAAATATTTTTCGAAAAAAAAAAACAATAAACTCAGCAAAATGTTGCAAAAATATTGTTTGCCTATTGCAATTGCTATCGGTAAGTTTGCGTTTTGTTGTATATATATTTTTTTAATGTTGATATTTTGTTTACTTTGCAATTTGATATCTTGCCCTGGGCGGCTGGTCGTTAACCTATCGTTTGTGTTACATTTTTTATACCTCCTATTATCATCTATGGGCTAGCAGTTATCTCCATCGATTTTGGTTTCATTTCCATGTTCTCAAATATAAGGAAAAGTTCAAAATTCGAATGGGACCGACCGACTACATGATACCCTTCACTACTTTGGGATGATCCTAAGATACTTATTGTACGGTACAGTATGATATATGCCGATTTAACCATGCAAAACATACGCCCTTCTCTAATAATTTTAGGTCGTATGTGTACAATATGTAAACAGAAGCCTTATAGGAATCCTCGGAAGACAAACTGGGACAAATTCAAAGCCAAAAACAGCAGCCTCAATTCTGGGTCATAAAGATCTCATAACGGTTGAGGATGTTGTGGAAGCTGTGAACAAAGGTCATTCTTCTGACGAGCTTTAAGGCTTCATGTCCTCTAACATACCCTGCAATAGAGCTAGTAAGACAAAACTCAGTACAGATTAGGACGTTTATAGAGAACATTTCAATAGGTACAAGAGTGAAATCAAGAAGACTAAACACGCGTCGTGGGTTTGCTATAGTGAGTCAATCAAAGGAGTCAACGAAGCGGCCAGATTTCGCAGTGTACTATCTAAAGATCCAAAATCTATAGGTAGTATTAAGCGAAGTGACGGATTTCTTCCTGCTTGTAAGGTCCATAATGATGGTGCGCATCAGCATATGGTTCGAACGAGTGAGGAGGAGAAGCATATAGGCCACTATAAGCTACTCAAAACTGGTTTGGGCGACAAATAGTTTTCAACCCTATAAATCTCCTGGTCCGACCATGCTGCAACACAGAAATGAACGAGTATTAGCCTCTCTGCAAGATATTTTTGGAGCTTGTCTAATCTTATCGTACTTACCTAGTCTATGGAAAGAGGTAACAGTGAACATCGTCCCGAAAGCCGGGAAGCCGAGTCAAACGCTACCAAAAGACTATAGACCGATTAGTCTCTCTTCCTTTCTACTCAAGACTTTAAAGGTTACTAGACTCAGAAATTAGAAATACTATTGATCAAAGCAACTCCCAGCATGCATACATAAAAGGCAAATCAGTGGATACGGCCTTAAATGAATTGGTTGGACGCATCGAGAAGAATATGGAGTCCTCTGGCTACATCTTGGCAGCATTCTCCGATATTGAGGGAGGTTTCAACAATGTGAAGCTAGAGGCTATCAATTCTGCCCTCGTAAGCTCAGGTATCTTCTCACTTCTAACGGACTGGATTGACACTACTCCGAATTTCAAAGCTGATTTCATTAGTTTTGCTTATGGCGGTACCGAGGTATATAAAACCTTTGACTACCTCGAAGCTGTACACTATATTGAGGGCACCTTCGCTAAGAAGATGTATACCTTAGCGGTATGCATTGATATTGAAGGAGCCTTCAACAATGTCACCACTAATACGCTTATTCAATCCTTAGATACTTTCCAAGTTGATCGGGCATTCATAGACTGGGTTAACATATGCTAAGGAATTGGTGGATTAGATGTAGCATACATGTGGGTAACTACCATAAGGAACATAACCGATGAAGGATTTGAACCCCAGCCTGTTATGCAGATGACGTTATAATACTTCTTAGGGGAAAGAATCCTAAATTTCTATGCACGAAAGCCGAGGCGGTGATAAACATCGCCTACGGTTGGGCAAAATCGAGGGGCTTAAACGTAAATCCGGACAAAACGGAGATATGTCTTTTCACCAGAAATACAAAAATAGGTTAGTATGAAGAGCCCATCTTCCAAAACAAAACGATAGCCATATCAAACAAAGTTAAGTTTCTGGGGGTAATTCTAGACAAGAAACTTAAATGGAAATACCACATACAGCAAACGGCTGACAAGGCCCATAAATGCTAGTCTTTCTGTACAAGAGCCGTAGGCTCTAAATGGGGTTTCTATCCAAAGATGATACACTGGATCTATAAGAGTGTTATTAGACTAATTCTAACATACGCGTCTGTTGTCTGGTGGACAGCAATGGATAAACATGTAACGTAAAAGCATTGAAGAAAGTTCAAAGAATATGTTGTCTAGGTATATGTGGGGCAATGCGTACAACAGCAACTAGGGCCTTGGGGACAATATTATATATACATCCAAAAAAAATATGAAGCGGCGGTTGCAGCTTTAAGACTCAAAGCAATGGACGAGTGTATAGACACCGAACACTGAGTCAACAATCAATACCTTTGATTCAGACCGCATACCTGAAACGAGAGTAGTAATACGGTTCGAAACTATAATACCAGATAGAGAACAATGGTAACTGTTGCTACACAGATGGCTCTCGACTAGGAGGAAAAAAGGAACTGGGACTTTTTATCGAAGAATCGGGTACCGAAATTTCTCTTCGCCTTACAGATCACAGCACGATCCTACAGGCGGAGGTACAAACAATAAGCGTGGTTTTACATTTATCGGGATCGGTGTTGAGAGTTTCTCTCTCTTGGGAGAGTAATTACAGTTGCGCTATTTTTAATTTTGTAACAAGCGTACTTTTTGTTCACAAAATTTACGAATTGATATAAACGTACCAAAACAAAAATTAGATTTTTTATTATTCGTGAATACATTTACGCTTAAATTATAACATATATTATTTATGCAAATAACTGGTATAAATATTGGCCAATATTTCTCGATAATTATGATTTATTATCATTTGAAGTAGAATTTTAGGTACCTTTTCGTACTTTTTGTTCCTATCTGTGGCAATGTTTTCCAACAAAATTCACAATTTCCCCCTAAGAGAGAGAGAGAGAAACTCTCAACACCGATCCCGATCTCGATAAATGTAAAACCACGCTAACAGAGTGTCTTAACTGACTAAGTTCAAACCATGGTCAAAATACAATAAATATTTTTACGGATAGCAAACCAGCTATAAATGCAATATCTTTCAAAACAGTTAAATCCAAAACTGTACTGGATTGTATAAATACTATTAATGATTTCTCACAACATGGACCTGTACGACTTATATGGGTACCGAGTCACAAAAGAATCATGAGCAACGAGATAGTAAATCAATTAGCTAGGAGTGCTAATCCACTACACACAATAGATATGAATACCGCCAAACCCTTTAGCGAAACACGCCAAAAAATGAGGAAATGGGCGAATGAGATCCACAAACCCCTTCGATAAAATGAGGGGACAGGAAAGATCACCAAAATCTTATGGGGTGACCCAAATGAAGATAAAACAAAGCAAATCCTACCGCTAAACAAAATAAACCAACTGACGGGTATTCTGACGGGACATCCCATCCTGAAGGCACATCTACTCAAGATTGGATGTGAAGGTAGCAGCATGTGTAGAGCGTGTGGGGAAGACAGTGAAACGCTGGAACATTTCCTGTGTCATTGCCCAGCATTTACATGCCTTCGAAAACAATTTTTAGAAATGACACTCTTCGCGGATTAACCGATCTGAGAGGGTGTGAATTGGAGAAGAGTGAAGGAGTTCTCAAAAAACACGAGATTCCTAGATTCATAGGGGAATCAGACCCAAAATGTTTGACCAAATCTTTCACTAATTCTAACATTCTAGAGTGCACAACAGATCTCAATTGGCTTATGTGTATGTCCTTTTCATGTTGGAAATGTGGTGGTATTATCCACCCCTCTTTTCAACCTAACCTCGAAGCTGTAGCTCAAGTTCCACAGTTGGTCTGAGTCTACTGGACGTCTTGCGAGTTAATGCAGTCTGCTTGGTCACTTTGGCAGACTCTTTCTTAATTCGTTCAAAGGTGGCTGTTACCGCTTGCAATGTTCGACACATTATATCGATGTCATCGGCTTAGGCGAGTTACAGACTGACATTTCTGTTCACATTTGCCTCTCGTATGACCTTTCAGGATGTTCAAAAAAGGTCACACGATAAACTGTCACCTTGTCTGAATCCTCTTTCGGTATTAAAAGGGCTCGGAGAGGTACTTTCTGACTGCTGATCTTGTGCCATAGCCGAATTAATTTTGCAGGAATGCCAAACGCAGATAACGCAGATAATGGCTTTAAACGCCCCTGAGAGGATTGGGCTGTCGAATATGTCCGTTAAGATAAATTCGTATTTGACTAGCAGAGGCACGAACCATGCATATTAACATTACAGTTGACAGAGCTATTTTTACATTAACAGAGCTCTGTTAACGCAAACCGAGCTACTCAAAAAAGTGACATTTTATACAAAAATTTACTTTTACTAAAAAAATCACATTTTGGAGTATCAAAATTAAATTATTTCCATTACAATAATTAAAGGTTTCGAAAAATTGCCCGATGCCTTCGTATTCAGCGCCCATTGATCCATCAGGACAATTCTTCCAGGACAACATGGTACCCAATTGTTGCTTTTGTTGCTGTTTCTAGTGAGTGGGCAATTCTTTGCCATTGTGATTCTATATTATTATCGGGACAGGGAGTGCATTCGACTAGCAAATGAGTAAGTTGAGTGGAGTAGGTTTCTGCTACCTGTTGTGTTTGCAGCTTTTCGACGTCGAGTTTCTGTGGTGTGCTGTTTCAAGACGCTGGTAAAAAATCTCTTTGGTCTGTACATCTTTGTCTTCCGTCGGAGCATGGGCGCAAGTAAGACCGATAATGTAGGAGAACTTCGCTTTTATACGGATTATAGCAATTCGCTGAAGTGAATCTGTAGACGAGGTCTTTTATTCTCCTGTTAATAATGAATCCGCAGCCAAATGCATATCTCGTTTCATGTCACCTATAATACAGTGGGTAATCATCTGATTTACGTATACCTGTCCCTTTCCATCGCATTTCCTGTAAAGCAATAAAATCGGCTTTGTACTTCTTGAGTACATCCGCTATAGCGAAAACTTTGTCTGTTCTGTACAGCGTGCGCACATTCCAAGTGTATATTCGCAGATCGTGGTACTTTACACGTTTTCGTTGGTCGTCAACATTAGGGGGGTTTGGTTTTCTTTTTCGCGGACTTTTTCATAGTAGGGGGGTTTTCTGAGTGTGGAAGCTTAACCGACGACTTAAACCATTTTTTTGTAGTTCTTTTTGGTAAACTCGCGCCACATATCAGCTCACTTTTTCAACGGATAATGAAATTAGCTACCCCAGGTGACACCGTGGGGAGGTCAGTGTCCACAATTTCAATTTTCAATTTATTTATTTTGCATGAATTGGAACCTAACCACAAGGCTAATATCGGTTCCAAAAACCACTATACATCTACTACTACAATTGAGATGAAAGAGGGGCCAAGATAAGTCTGGGCTTTGTCATGTTGAAGCCAGTCAGAGGCGTTGCTTGGTGTCTCTATATCATATATTACTATTCGCAAAATTTGGAGGTTTTGGGCATGTTTTCCAATCTGTAATTTGGTATTTTTAGATCTCATTCTGTATCTAAACTTCCCACAAAAAATCTACCTAAAATTGGTAGATTCTCCAATGAATCATGGATTCGGATTGAACAAACCCAACCAAACCAATTTTATAAAAAAATGTTTTATGTCCTGAAAATATCTATAGGTTTCTGTTGAAATTCACCATTCTGCGATCTTAACACATTATAATAATAAATATCCTCTATAATTTTTCTTTTTTAGGTACAGCATTTTTTCTTGCCATTTATGCTACACCGGTTACATCGGCAATACTGCCACCCGAATATAAAGTGGCGTGTGAACACTTCGATGAAAATAATTGTACAAAAAATGGTGACTGTGCTGCCCGAATAGAACATTGTAAAATTGATTCGGAAAAGCCGCCAAGTTGTTATGTTTTATGGTCAAAGGATAAAGTAACGGGTAAGTCAAAGAAAAACATTTTTTTAATTAAATAGGTATTGAATTGAATTTAATATTTTTTTACATTTTCCTTTTTCTTTTTACAGGTGAAGAGCGCATTAAAATGAAGGGTTGTTTTAGCCACACTGCCGAATGCAACCAAACGAAATGTGTGGCAAGCAGTGAGCCACGCAAAGATAATATTTATTTTTGCTGTTGCAAGGATTCCATGTGCAACAGAGATCATAAATGGGAACCAACAACAACGGAGGCAACAACACAAGGTAAATGCAGCAGCAGCAATAACGCAAAACAACACATCAAAACAAAACAAAAACACATGCATTTCAACATCATTGTTTCCACGACAGAAGGGTCTACGATCCGAAGCGACCCTAGTCTTACTCGGCCAACGTCTGTCACCTCAGCCCGTTATGTAAAAGCAATAGGGCTGCTACAACAACAACATATGCAAAACAACACATCAGAACATGCACACATACTCAAATCCTCTTAGGTAGAAGCTCCACTTTTCCCCATCTATCCAAACAAACACACATACTTCTTGTGGGTATGCTTATATACTTCTGCTTTTTGTTTTTTTTTTTCTTTGCATATTCTGGGAATATAGGATGGGAGAAAGTCCTTGTGTATTGCAATACAACCGACGAAAGACACGTGCTTTAGTTCATTGCACATTGCAACTAACAAATCCTGCCCTTACCCAATTTTATAATGGTTTGTTTATGGCTTTTATTTTTCTCTTTTTGAACTAGCATGTTTTGTTGTTATTGTAGCGTTATTCATCTTATATGAATGAATTGTGGAAACAGTGGGACCAAACTGTTTTGGGAAATTGTAGAATTTTTAAGGATTGCCGTCGGATTTTATAAAGCACAATCAAAGCTTTAAAATAAAATGGTTCAAAATAATTCATATACGTAAGAGGTCTGATAAATAACCATTATTTTCCGTTTTCGTGAGTTGCATATGTTTTGCTTTCGGTCTTTATATCGAATTCGTGGCCTTTCCCTTCTGCGTGAACTATCAGTTGGCTCACACAACATGGCCTAGCCATCGTAGTCGCTGCAGCTCGTCAAAGTCCGTCCATATACACGGACGGCAAAGTTTGTGGTTCATTTGGGCCGCTAAATCTTTCGGAGAATTTTTCTCTCTCTCTCGAACACTCCAAGAGCAGCCTCATCAGCTCCAGACCCACTTTGGCAGACTACTTCTCAATTTGTTCAAAGGTGGCTGTTACTGCTCGCATTGTTTGTCCCATTATGTCGATGACATCGTCGTACACATCACATTGTCGGTATTGAAGAGCTCCGGGAGGTCCTTTCCGACTTTCAATGTTTTAACCATGTGCCAGTTACAGTTATGCTGCATAGACGTATTAATTTTGCAGGAATGCCGAACGCAGACATGGCTTTAAACACCTCTGAACGAATATGGCTCCCGTTTGCGGCTTTATAGTCGACAAATTGGTGGAAGGAATGGTGCAGGAATGCCGAACGCAGACATGGCTTTAAACACCTCTGAACGAATATGGCTCCCGTTTGCGGCTTTATAGTCGACGAATTGATGGAATGTATCGACATGTGTAACTCTGCGCCAAGATCAGGTCAATGATGATTGATATGGTCCAATAAGGTCGTTGACCATTGGCTTCAGTGACTGGAAAGCATTTTATATGCGATTGGAAGGCGACTAATTCCTCTATAGTTGGCACATATCGTCTTATCTCCTTTTTTGTGTACTTAAAACAACATGGGGCATGTATTCCTCTCGCTAAATTGTACTAATCAGCTGGTGCATGCTCCTGACTAGCATCTGACAACCGGACTTGAATAGTTCGGCTGGTAACCCGTCGGCAAGCGACGAAACGACTATATATCACCAGTCCTGAGATTTGACGATAAAGATGTCGTTATTCCTAGTAGAGACGACTGGAACCGTAGCAACCCTCCTCTGGACGGTCTGGCTTTTTATATAAACGGATCACAAATGACGGATATACTGAATTTGCGCTAAACCAAATGTGATTGTTTAGACTCTGCTCTTTTAGTAGTGCTATCATAAAATAGTTGGTACTTTTTTATTATTTTAATATTATTTGTTAATTTTACTTCATGGGGAACCAATTTTATAGGGAAATTGCATTAACATTTTTATAATTGTATATAAGATATTTTTTTTTAATTCTTTATTGTATATTACAACATTGTTAGTTAGTATATTGTAATGTAAAATTGTTTGGCTATATTAGCTTATGCGTTACTATGTATGAAATAAATGAAATGAAATGAAAGAAGGTACAGCAGGGGCTGGCGTCTACTGTGAAAGGTTAGGCCTTGAGTTTACCTACAAGCTGGATAGCAACTGTAGTGTTTTCCAAGCTGAAATCTTCGCGGTTTGGAAGGCAGCGGAACTGCTAAAAATTCTGGATGCAGAGATCGTTGAACCTGTGACTATCCTTGTGGATAGTCAGGCGACTCTTAAAACCATCAAATCCTGTAATATCAAATCTGATTTCGTCCTCGAGTGTAGAACAGTTTTAGAAACACTCACGCACAGCTATCGGTTGTGTTGGGTACACCGGGACACCGTGACATCATGTATAATGAAAAAGCAAACGAATTAGCTAGACGAGGATCTCAATCTACAGATCTAGCAATCGATGGCTTAATTAAACCACCCATCTGTCATCTTTTCGGAACGTTGAGGCGTTCTTCGACGAACGAGCCAAATGAACTCTGGCACAACGAACCCCTAGGTGTAATGTGTCAAGATCTATTTGACCGTCTCTGTCAAACAAGAGAATAAACTCACTGTTGAACCTCACAGGAATCATTACTGGTCATTGCAATATAAGGGCCTTTACCAGTAAATGGGACCAGACTCTGTGCTGACGAGGAGGAGACAATTGAATGGGACCATAATGTAACCGATTACTGCAAACTCTGTGCTGACGGAGACAATTGAGCATCTCTTGTGTCGCTGTCCAGTTCTGGCCTACAGACCGCACAGACTAGCGGGTGCTTACTTTCCACCATCTCTAAGCTTCATTTCAACTATGAAACCTTCTTTAATCTACAACATCATTAGAAACCTAAAGTGGCTAGCACGTAATATGTTTTTCTGTCCAATTTCTTTAGCCATCGAAACTGTTCCCACCTTCCACCAATAATAGTTTCTTATTCTTATACTTTCCAAACTATGATAGAGGATAAACACTTAATCTCACCATATATCACCCTGGTTCTATTCTAATAATAATTTCTACAACCACTGTCCTAGTGGCATGCAAGTCGTAGTAGCATGGTTTTCTTGTTGACTATTTTCATTGTTTACTCTTTGGATAAAAATGGGGGAACTTTCGTTTTTTTGTTTTTTTTTTTATTTGATACGACAACAATCAGGCAGTCCTCTATTCTCCTGTATAGGAGTGTTATTCTATTTATTTGTGTTTATTGTTGTTGTTGCTGGTTTAAGCGGGTAAAGTTTGTTGAATTTATTTTTGTATCCTTTCATTAAAATACTCACTCTACTTTTAAATTGGATACGATGATGATGATGGCATATACTTACAATGTTATTCACCTGGATTTTTTCCTACCACATAGAGGGGAAAAGAAGGAGGAGGAGAAGAGGAAGATTCAATTTTGTTGATTAAGTGATATACTGTTTAAGTTTAACATATTTGGGCTAGGTTCTTGTTAATAAAAAATATAATTAAAAAAATATATAAGATAGTAATAAATTCTTCAAATTTGTTTTTTCTTTCATAGTTCCCAAAGAGAAAAAATCCGAAGATACCAATTTAGTACTCATCATTATTTGTTCCTGTGCTTTGGCTTTTTTAATAACGACAACTGTTGGTCTATTGATTTGGTATCGACGACATAAACAAGAGAATTTCAATGACGTGCCCACAAATGAGGCTGAAATAACCAATACCTCGCCGCTACTTAGTAATAGGCCCATACAACTGCTGGAATTAAAAGCCAGTGGCCGTTTTGGTGATGTTTGGCAAGCCAAGTTGCACAATCATGATGTGGCAGTGAAAATCTTTAGAATGCAAGAGAAAGAATCATGGAATACCGAATTGGAGATATATAAGGTGGGGACTGACTACTACTGCCGCTCACAACTAATAATTCACTAACTTACATTCTCTCTCTCTCTCTCTTTCGGACATTTTTTTTACAGTTACCCCGTATGCGGCATCCAAATATTTTAGAATTTCTCGGGCATGAAAAACACACCGAAAACATTCAGCATGAATTTTGGCTTATATCAGCCTATCAGCACAATGGTTCATTGTGTGATTATCTAAAATCACATACGATTACCTATCAACAATTGTGTCGCATTGCCGAATCGATGGCATGCGGTTTGGCACATTTGCACGAAGAAATTCCAGCCAGTAAAACTGAAGGTTTAAAACCGTCCATTGCCCATCGTGATTTTAAATCGAAAAATGTTTTATTGAAAAATAATTTGACAGCGTGTATTGCGGATTTTGGTTTGGCCATGATATTTGAACCGGGTAAGTTTCATACTAAAAATTAAAAAAAAAAAATTGGAATGTAATTTTATTAATTGTTTCTGCAGGTAAACCATGTGGTGATACCCATGGTCAGGTGGGTACCAGACGTTATATGGCTCCAGAAGTTCTGGAGGGTGCCATTAATTTTAATCGTGATGCTTTTCTTCGTATTGATGTTTACGCCTGCGGATTGGTGTTGTGGGAAATGGTATCACGCTGTGATGCCACGGGACCAGTTGGTGAATATTTACTGCCATTTGAAGCAGAGGTATGTATTGAAGACTCACTGAATTAATTTCGTTATGGTATTTAGCCATCAATCACCATGGTATCTTACAAATTATACATGTATTTTGCCTACAGTCAGGTTAAATGGGGACGTAACAATATAACGTTGCCACCGGGTTTCAGTATTTTTGTTTGCCTCATTGTCAACCGTATTGTTTGTAATCCTTGGGCGATATATGTACAGTTTAGATATAGCCAACATAGACGGTACCTTTCAACCCAATTTATTATATTTTTATATGTTGGCTTCTGATTATTCCGATCACTACGAAAAAGGATCAATATTGGGGCATCATTAGGTATAGCTTACAATTACGCCACGTTACTGCGACTGCCACATTAGGGACGTAACGGAGACAGATCTGAAGATATGAAAAAATAGAGAGCTTGCCAAAATATTCTTTGAAAAATCCTCGCCTTGTTTTGGGTCATTGAAGAACATTCTTTAAAAAATCCACGCCTTGTTTTGGGTCATTGAAAAAATATTCACTCAAAAATCCACGCCTTGTTGGGTGCTTAAAAAAATATTACCTAAAAATCCACGCCTTGATGGGTGCTTGAAAAAATATTACCTAAAAATCCACGCCTTGTTGGGAGCTTGAAAAAATATTACCTAAAAATCCACGCCTTGTTGGGTAATTGAAAAACATTCTTTAAAAAATCCATGCCTTGTTGGGTCATTAAAAATCATTCTTTAAAAAATCTATGCCTTGTTGGGTCATTGAAAATCATTCTTTAAAAAATCCACGCCACTTTGGGATGTTGAAAAACATTTTTTAAAAAATCCAGGCCTTGTTAGGTCATTGAAAAACATTCTTTAAAAAATCCACGCCTTGTTTTGGGTCATTGAAAAAAATTCTTTAATGCCGATGTCCGAGAATAGATGGTACAACTCATGGTTCATTCGACGGCGATAGTCACCGTTGACACAGATCGCCCATAGATCTTTCGGAGAAATTTCTCTCTCAAACACTCATGATCCATACACCAGCACGGGTAGTATCAGCGTCTTGTAGAGTGTGAGTTTGGTCTGACGAGAAGTGGTCTTACTTACTTAAGGGGGGACCCCCCATTCACTGTGTCAATTTTTTTTTTATTTAATTATTAATCTACTCTAATTCTAGAATGTCCCTACAAAATTTCAAGTGAAAATCTCAAGAACTCTTGAAGATATAGCCGATTTAATGCGTCAGCATCAAGTGACGGCAAGAGTGATCCTCAAACTTTAAACGCATTTTTCTCGAAGCAGAATCAATCGGTTCCAAATTTTGACACGTGTATTGCTCTCGTATGAACAAGTATAAAGCCAATCGGTGAGGGTCTTCCTTATTTTTTAACTTAGTTTGCGGTCAAATATAGGCGATTTTCCAAAAAAAAAAATCAAAGTTCCGCCATTTTGTTAATTTTTGTGCGAAGTTAATCCTAGTTTATACGGGAGGCAGACATGTACTCTCTAGCACCGTTGGAATTTTCGGATTCCCATGTTCCAGTGAGGCGTTATCATGCCCGTCATCAAAAATAAGGTCATTTCTTTGATCACAAAAAACAAGAACAAGACAACAATAAAAATTTTTCGTAAATTATTTTTCTTCCTTTTTAAATCTCCAAATATATATGTGCAAAGTTACAAAGCTTAACAAGCATTGGTATTCATTTACTAGCCCATTTAAAATCTTAAAAATAAAAAATCATAGTAGCATCTGTTGGCCAACACTATTCTCCTCCGAATTTTCAAACTGATTTATGGCCATACCAAGGTATATAAAATCATTGACTACCTCGAATCTGTAGTTCTCAAGTTCCGAGTTGGTCCGAGTCTACTGGACGTCTTTGCCAGTCTGAAGCCGCATTGATATGGTCCAATAATGTTATTGACCATTGGCTTCAGTCGTTCACACAGCACGCTTTATATGCGATGGGAAGGAGACTTATTCCTCTATAGTTTGCACATATTCTCTCGTCTCCTTTTTTGTGCTTTATTATTCTTCAGCCGATATATTGCTATTCTGACCTCATCTTGGCTAGGTGGTATACACTCTATACCCTCATCTATTATTGGTTCAGGGGTATTCTCTTCACCGCTATTATTTGATATCAGAAGTTTTTTTTCAAGCTTTGTTGGGTCCATTAAAACCATTCTGACATTCCACAACCACCGAATGGCATAGATATCGTTATGTATGCGGTTGATTGTACGATAAGATGACATATGTGAACAGTAATTCGGTCGATCGGTGAAAAGCTAGGAGGATTCCCCACCCCATCACGTTAGTAGAATTGTTCAATATCTAAGGAGAGGGAACTCCTAGAAGAAACAGGTCTATCAAGTACAGAGGCGGTAAATCAGATTATAATACTTAGAGTACACCAATTGCACCAGAACAACGATAACTGCCTAGGCAAGATGTGCAGGGTGCGTGAGGATGATGCTCCTTGGTAGCATTCAGGTTGCAATAGAAGAGTAAGACTGGAAATAGAGGAGTCTGAAATAGACTAACTTAAAAACACTAAACTCAAATTTATCATTATTAGTCCCTATCCGCATATTGAGCTCTGAGGAAAATTTTGAAAGTAGGACCATTTTGCACAGTGGGATACAAAATCTCCCATGGAAATATGTTGTTGGTATAGGTTCAAGTCCCTGACATATTTATAACATCATTAACATAACTTTTAAAAAACTTTATTTTTTTAGTTGGGTCAAAGACCTACTTTGGATGAGGTGCAGGAAAATGTGGTTATGAAAAAATTACGTCCACAAATTCTTAATTCTTGGCGTTCACATCCGGTAAGTGTAATGTAACTAATTCAAATTAAAGTACCCCTATATATATACATATATATATTAGATATAAATTACAATATACATATCGTTCATTTGCTGCAAGAGAGGCTTAACTCAAGATACGTGATTTTCGAGTTAATGATGCACGATTGTTCGCTATAATAGACCTTGTAAAAATTTCATATGCTTATATCTCCTACATACTCTAATTGAGAAGCTGTAGAAGTTCCTCTGTCCCATATAAAGTGTGAGTAAATTGAAAACTTAAAACACATTTTCTGAAAAATCGTGTTTTTTGAGTTATGCTTGTCTTGCAGCAAATGAGCGATATGTAAATACATATTTAAGTATTTTCATATTTCTAATATTCTATTATTTTCCCATATTTTTTCGTCAACAGGGAATTAGTATTATTTGTGATACAATGGAGGAATGTTGGGATCACGATGCTGAAGCACGTCTTTCGTCATCGTGTGTAATGGAGCGGTTTTCACAATTACAAAAATATCCAGTAACACCGTTTGTAATAAAAAATAATACAAACAATTGTAGTACGGTGGATATAAAAGAATCGAATATAATAGAGACCAATTCATAGGATTGGTATTGATGAAATCACTGTTTTCTCAAAATGAAGAGAACAAAAAACAGTGCTGCCGATGTCTTTAAAAAATGCCAAAAAATGGATCCTTTATTCAAAAAGGATTTGTTTTTATTAGCGAGAGAGGGGAAGAGAGTTTATTATCTTTTAACAAAAACAACTTGACTCGAGAGTTGTGTACAGAGCCAAACAACAATTTTGTATATGGAGTTTTTTTCTTTCGAAAGAAAGTAACAAATATTTTAATTTTTGTTTGCTTTTAAGTTTAATGTTGTAAAACTTTCGTTTTCCTTTATCTCTACATTAGTTAGAATACTAAACCAGTCGTCTTGTCTAGTCATTAATGTTTTGTGTTCCATTGTAATTTTATTTAGTAGTGGTAGAGCCTCTATATAAAAACCCGCACACAACACATCAAAATCAAAAAAGCTACACAAAAAATATTGTATACAATTTTAACATATATTTGTGCAATGTTATATTAATTATTTTTTTTTTTTTTTTGTATATGTATATTTACATGTGATTTCTGTTAACTGGACAAGACAAGACTTTTACAAAATGAAAGTATTTATAAGTGATTTTTTTAAATAACCTTTTAATTCTTCAAATAAGCAAAGATTTATTATTAAATTAGTTTAAATAATAATTAAAATATATATAGAATAAGATCATAAGTTAAGTTTTATTGAAACCAGAAAAAAGAACATATGACTAAAACAATATCATGTTTAAAACAAATACACAAAAACACACATAACAAATGTATACAACATTCACAATCGTTTATATACATAGAAAAAGATACAAGACAAATCTTATTGCAACAGAATCAAAAGTTAAACAAACAAATTTCCTATAAAACACAAACAACAAAACAATTTTGTTTCTTTTGTTTTTATTTATTTTTTTATTTTAATAATAAAAATACATTTATATGAAAAAAAATGGCGAGTTTGAGGTCTTTTTCCACATGCAGGGCATTTGTCACATATCGTGCTGGCATCTGTAGTCATTAATGGATTCGAAGACCGCCAGTTGATGAACGGATTTCATCGCGTCCGCTATCGACAATGAAATGACGTCATGGATGCCACGACGATAGCGCCTGAAGTCCTGACGGATGTATGATTGGGATGACACGGTAGATAGCATGACAGCAGGGACTGCCTAGTCAACAACACATTATGTTGATTGACTGACAACATCCTGGTCTTCTCATGGAGGTGATTGACGCTCGTCATCTGGTCACAGACGGTTGCAATTCGGAGTGCATTATTTTGAGTTATTTGTAAGGATCTCCATTGTGAGGAAAGAAGTCCAGACTATAGCAGCATAATTAAGGATGACCTTATATGTCGTTACGAACGTTTCTTTATCCTTGCCCCAGGGGGTGTCAGCCAAATTTTTCAGAACTTTATTCCTAGCTTTTACTTTCTGGTTGATGTAGTTATAAAGCGAGGAGAAATAAAGGACTTTATCGAAGATTACTCCAAGGATTTTCGAATTATGACATTTCCATTGAAGGTAAGGATGCGCCTACCTTCAATGGAAATGTCAAGTTCTAGATTGACTTCTAGCGCCCAGGAAGTAAAAAGTGACACAGTAGACTTTGCAGTGGATACTTTAGATTGCGCTTCCGGAAGAAGTTGGTGGCTAAATAGTTGAAATTGTTGCACCTAATTCGTCAATGTTAACGCAGGACAAAATAATAGTACAGTTATATAGGCAGCTGTTGCTAATGGTTGGTGGCTAAATAGTTGAAATTTTTGCGCTTACGTCGTTAATGTTAACGCCGGACGAAATAATCGTACAGTCATATAGGCAGCGGTTGTTTTTTTTGCGCTATGGGAGGACTCCAAGTACTACATTCACATGGTAGTGATGCGCTTCTGTGTGTATGTCATTCATTTTTACTAAATTGGCATGTTTACTTAGGGATTTATCTTTTTACTGTTAGACCTCTCTCTAGATCTTGAAAGTCTCTACCGATGTGCTTAAGTCGAAAAATGTACAGGATAATCGAAATGTAAGCGCTTCATAGTCATATGTTTAATTCCACTGGTGTTCGACCACTTGCTTCAGAAGTTCCACATACGACTGGCGTCCATACATAAAGTTTATTGTCTTTTGTACCTTCAAACTAGACCTGAGAGTGGTATGCTCTATATCCTCGAGCAGCATTTCATGATTGATAGTTTCCAAGGCTCGTCGCTAACCGTTCCTGGATATGCTCGCGGCTGTAGCGTTCGTCATAGAAAAATTTCTGAATATTTTGCTTTATTTAGAAACTTAAACTGGCACACAAATTCCATATACCTAAAGTCTTAAAGTCTGCAACGTATGGCTACTGCTCCGATACGTCTGTTGGTATCACAAATAACTGAAGACAAAGGAATTAATGGTTGTGGCGATCCGGATTAGGATTTGGTACCTGCTGTTGCTTTCGATATAAGCCTCGATGGCTCTTTATATCGATTCTGATATAAATAATACACTTCTCTTAAATAATGCACTTCTTTTGGCCTCTCCCACTCAGGGAGCTCTATAAACGAGATCCGTGATTGTTACGTCGCTAAATTTGGTAACCGTTCTGTGTTCCATTCATCCAGATCCTGAGAGTGATTTAATTGTTTATCTTTATTTACTTGTTTCGTCTCGATGTTGTGAAGCTTCAGGTCGTCTAGTCACTGTAAGTTCCCTTGCCCTTGGGTTTTAGATTATGTACGATTAATTTCATTACAATCATTTGTTGGCACCTGGGATTCATCTCTGCTGGGAAGTTTAGTCTTACCTCCCGTATATAGCAGTGATGACATCTGATATATCCATCCATGGTTCAGGAAAGTATGGCGTTCAGAGGTTATGAAATCAAGTGATGGGAAGGTTTTCTTTGCAAGATTATGCCATTAATCGGGTTAGTGTCTAAATGGAGATGTCTGGCAAACTGAGGATACCTGCTCTAATTCTGGTGGAATCATTCCCATCTAAGATGTGCTTATGTTAATCTTGATATTTGATGTTATTCTGCTACTATGGTTGAGTGATGGTTGCAAGTTCAGCATACATATCGCATTGTTCTGCTGTCAGCATCTCAAAATTTAGAAGTCAGGTTTTCAAAAAGTAAGCATTTTCATTACTCAATTATCATTATCGCCATATCTTGTCTATTCAACATCGAAAACCTATTTTAAACTTAGTCCAAGTTTTAATTTGTACTGAAGGATGTAATGTCATTCATTCGTATATTCTTGCTTCCTTTTAAATAAATTATGCCATTGTTCTCGTTTCGATTTCAGTTTAAATTTTAAATCCACTTCTTTACATCTTTTCAAAATTAGTTTTGTAAAGTTTATTTTATATTTTCGTTTTTTTTTTCTATCGCAGTGCCTTAATTTTTACCATATATAATTAAGTAAATTATTTCTAAACATATTTTTTATTTATTATAATATTTGTTGCATATATGCAAATAAATGATATTTATATAATTCTTATTTAAAATTTTTGTTGTTAAATTTGTTTTCTTTTCTACTATACCAAGGATACACTTAGTGGGATACAATAAACACACATCCTGAAAAAGGCGTCAATTAAAAGTAGGTTATAAATAAAATTTGACGTAGTAACATTATTTTATTTGGGAAATACAGTATGGATCACAATGGAACCGAATAACTTTATAAACAGACAAGTGTTAGCTCCTCAAGTACTTCCGGCTAGATTCGCAGATTTCTGTGTATACGGGGATAGAGGCATCGAATGTGACCCCGTATGACCGTGGGGTAAATAGTGATCTGGATTATAGACCTATCGACGTGCACATTCAAATATAAACAGAGTTGCCGTTTACTTCGTGGTGGCTACTATTTTAAATGTTTTTTATTAATTTTAGGCCCAGACGCCATGTTCCTATTGAATTCCACGTTCGACTGGCTTTCACATATATGGTTAACCAGTGCCAACAGTTTATTGAAAGCTTTCCTTTCTACCACTCAAATATCAGTAGTTCTCTGAAGCTACATTGGGAGAAAACTCTGAACTCTTGCCAACGACAGCTCCTTATTGCGGTTTGGTTAAAATCACTTTTTTTGTATAAAGGCCCACGACGGTTCTTTATCTCGGTAAGATTTAACCCTGATAATTATAAATCAGTTTCTTCACTATTGTACACCCACCTCTACTTCCTTGTTTCTCCTCTGGTGATCTCCCTTATCCTTGGGAACTTCTTGCTAGGTTGACCGATCTGTACCGATTGTCTCTGCCTTTTCAACACTCGGTTGCGTATTCCAGCTAGAATTGAAGAAATCTCTGAAGTCTTGCCAACGACAGCTCTTTATTGCGGTGTGGTTAAAATCACTTTGTTTTAAATAGGGCCACGCCGATTCTTCATCTCGGTTTGGTTAAACTCTGATAATTATAAATCACTTTCTTAACTATTTTAGATTAGAATTTAATTTTCAGCTAAAAATTTTGGGCACAACTGTACTTCTCTATTTTGTTCAAACTTATGGCTCGATTATGGATAGCAACCATTTATGAATATCAACTTTTCTCAGTTGCTGCCGATTATACTGTTTTGACACTTCTGCAACTAGAAATATTGTAAACAAACACAAAATTGAATAGAATATTTCAACTATTTTTTGATGATGAAAATGAAGTGCAAGGCGTATCATCTATTGGAAGTCATTAAGAGATAAATGCCTACGGCCAACAGCAATTCTTCCTCTCTTAAAAGTGTGTGCCACTCTGAGGTTTTTGTTTTCGATGACTTCAATGACTTCAACCTTGGCATGGCAATGACTTCAACCTTGGCATGGCTCAATCCACAATGTCGTCGGTGGTTTTGACCGAAGTTGACCGGCTAATAGAGGAAAAACTGTGTAAAATTTTGATTGTTTCCAAATTAACAGAGGATGAAAAGGGGAAGAATATTTTTTTTATTCGAAAACAAAGTTCCCGGGTGTTGCCGGATGTATAGATGTCATATATATCACAGTCCCAAAAGAAGATGTTCGCCATTTTGTAGTAATTATAACAATTATTCCAAACAAATTTCATTTCTTATTGCTAAACACGACTAAACAGCAACCAGAAATAAATGGTTGCCGAAAAATTCTATTTGAAACAACTGAAGTTGACAACAGTTGCCATCCATAATTCAAATTTGGCAACTGGCAACGCCACTAAACTATGGTTACCATCCATAATCGACTCATTATTCATTAAAATACTGTTTAAAGATGTCTTTAAGACAGTGTTGGGCAAAATTAAATTGAGAGCAAGTGTGTGCGAGCGTAACAGAGAATTCACCATTAAAAACGACTGACGTAAAGAGAAAGAAAGAGAAAATGAGTTTACCCATCGACCATCAGTTACGGTAGCGTATGTGGGTAAGCATGCCTGCTTTAAGAATATGTCTTCTTCATATTTCGAACTATGTACGTGACTGTTTTTAAGGATTCGCCACTTTTTTGGATGTGCCACCATAGTCTCAAACCTTCCATCTGTTGTTCCAAAAAAATATAGAACCGCAAACGGAGTCAGCAATTATGAATGGAGCTTCAATATTTTCGTAAGCTTGAAGAATTGAAAGAAAAAGAACTCTAATAAAACGGGAGATAAGTCCAGAACCAATTTGTACAAAAAGAATAATATATATATATATATATATATACAACAAGTAATGCATCTTCACTGCCACTATAGTCGTCTATGCTGTAGCCGTTAAAAGGGTATAATTTTATCTATTATTTTAGTATAAATGCGATTCTTGAGTATAAATGCGGATATATTCTTTTCACTGTCGGTCACTGAACCGACTCGAAGGACCAATGTTATAAAGGGTTAGATGAAAAAACTTCAACCAAATTCAGACTGCTGTCAATTCTAAGCCACTCGTCCAACAGCTATTAAAATTATTCCAGTGACAGCTTATTACATTGTTTAAAAGCGTACAAAAGCATTTTGGTGAGAATTTTCCAGAAAAGAAGTTACTCTTGATGGAATTCAAGCTTGATAGTGTGATTTCTGCATATTTGACTGGAAAACCACAAGTGACTATCGTTAGAGCACTCCAGCATTTAAATGTGAATAAATTGGTTGTGTCCGACATCAAGGAAGTGGACGGAAGAAAACAGCAACATTAGTGAACTGGTTCGAAGAGTAATGAAACGACTTGGTCGCAGTGGCCGAAAAATGGCTCGTGAGCTGAATATATCACAATATTCCATTCGGAAAATATTGAAAAATGAGTTTCTAAAAAGTGCAAGAACTTACACCGCAACTGAAAGAAAATAGACTCAAAAGAGCTAAAGAGTTGCTTCGCTTGGCCCATAGTGGTGAACTGCCGAATTTGGTTTTCTACGATGAGAAAACATTCGTTGTCCAGCAGTTTGTAAACAAACAAAATGATCGTGTTTACTAGCCAAAGAGGTCAGCCTTAAAATGTGCACCTTCGGTTGGCCACCAGAATTCAAGCGCCGACCATGGTGATGGTGTGGACCGCCATAACAGCGATGGACGCTCTCCGCTCGTATTAAACGACCGTGGCATCAGAATAAATGCCGAATATTATAACGAAAATATTCTGGAGGGTGTATTAAAGCCTTGGGCACGGAAACAGTACCATCGAATTCAGCATGCGCCACCCAAGAATGGTTACAAAATGTGGTTCCTCGCTTCATTTTCAGCGCACAATGGCCACAGGAGTATTTTGTAAAGCAAGTTTAGCACTAAAAAATACCAAAGTGTCTATCACCTCAAGCAAGCGCTTTGCCGGGAATGAGCCAACATTCGGGCAGCGTGTGACGGTTTCATTGACCGTTTGAAGGCCATAATGCGTGCCAACAAATCTAAACTTATTCTAAAAGTTGATTCTATTTCCGACATTTTTTGCTTTCATTCAATAAAATTTGACTTTGTTGCGGTTTTTTATCTCATCTTGTAAGTCTGCAACCTTGTCACATGTGGCAACGACGATGATTCCGGTTTAATCAAATTGTATTTCCTTTCTAGTAAATTTAAATTTTATATTTTTTGTTTTTATTTTTTACTCACAATTATTATTTTTTTTTTTTTAACTCAAATCAATCTTTGACGCATTCTCAAATTTGGGAATCCTTTTTCAACAAATTTTTTGGAAGCAAGAAAAGTGATGAAAATCTTTTAAGAATAATATACCCGGTACCCCGCTTTTATTTTTATTAATTGTTTGTTTATTTCAATAAAAAAAAACAAATACCAACTACACACCATTTCGTAAAGTACAATTGAAAAACTGTGTTCAGTTTATTTAACGGTGAACAAAATAGTTTCTAATTTTATATATACACACATTTAGAATTAAAAAAAAATAGTTCTAAAATATAGACACCAAATGTAAATATTTATTTGTAAGCAATCGTATTGATGTTATTAAAAAAATAATTTAATTTTCAATAATTAAAGTCATATGCATATAATGTTTATAAAGAAAAAATACTGAATTACTGACATATATACTTCATTTTTTCATATTACCTTTTTAATTATATAGATTTCATTACATTTACCTGAATTAATAATGTTAAAATGCATTATTTAAATAAAAAAGAAGAAACAGAAAAATTAATTATTAAATAAAAACATTGATTATTCCTTACAGACAGCTTAATTACCTGATTTATTTAGAATCAAATCAAGAATATATTAAAAAATATTTATTCGTTAATTATAACAGCATCATAATAGATTTTCATTAACGACAAAGTTATATTATGAATCATACACACTTATGTACATAATATATTTTATTAATAACAATTAATTATTTTATGAATACATAATTCTACAAAATTGTATTTCAGTTTGTAATTAAAAAAAAAAAATACTGTATAAAAATTATTGTAAATAAAATTTTCTGGATTTTAAATTTTTAATTGAAGAGCATCTTTTACTTGCCAATCAGAATTGTAATAATATTATTACGTAGTAAAAATTCCCAAGAATCCAAAAATAACCGAGTATGATGGTGATGCTTTGCGGAAGTCCTATGCCCTTAAGAGGAGTAACAGAAAAAAATAATGATAAATCTAAGAAGGAAAGAATAGGAAGCTATTATTATTAGGAGGATGGTGAGATAGTTTCGAGAAACATATTATCAGTGACGTGAATTAATCAGTAACGTCATGGTCTCATTTGCTGGTAAAGGCCCGGATATTGCAATGACCAGCAATGACTCCTGTCATTAAGTTAATTTCAGCTTTGTTCAGGTTCAACAGTGAGTTTGAGAGAGTCGCCCATATAGATCTTGACACATTGCACCTAGGTTTGTATTGCCAGAGTTCATTGGCTCGTTCGTCGAAGAACGCCTCAAATTTCCGAAAGAGATGACAGATGGTTGTTTGATTGAGCAATCGATTGCTAGATCTGTAGATTGAGATCCTCGTCTAGCTAATTCGTTACCATGATGTCACGGGGTCCCGGTGTATCCAACACAGCCGATAGCTGTAAATGAGTTTTTCCAAAACTGTTCGAGGACGACATCAGATTTGATATTACAGGATTTGATGGTTTTAAGAGCCGCCTGACTATCCACAAAGATAGTCACCGGTTCAACGATCTCTGCATCCAGACTTTTTATCAATTCCGCTGCCTTCCAAATAGTAAAGATTTCAGCTTGGAAACCACTACAGATGCTATCCAGCTTGTAGGTAAGGTCAAGGCCTAGCCTTTCACAGTAGACACCCTGTACCTTCTTCCAGGAACGTACGCAGGGGGGAGCCCTGGGGGACCGCCCCCCCCCCCCGAAATGAATTTTTTTCACAGTAAATTTATGTTTGCACTGTAGACTCCAGCCCCTGTACCTTCTTCCATTTTGGATCGTCTGTATATAAAACCAAATCGCCCAGAGGAGGGTTGCTACGGTTCCAGTCGTCTCTAGTAGGGATAATGACATCTATATCGTCAAATCTCAGGACTGGTGATGTATAGTCGCTTGGTTTTGCGCGTTGGTCCGCGTTGTTTTACGGACTCAAGTTTAACGTTATTGAAAGCTCTTTCTATATCTAGAAAGGCGAACAACGTAATGTTCTAGCTTTCCATATTCCTCTCAATATAACTTACCACCTCATGCAGTGTAGATTCCACAGACTTGCCTATTATATAAGCGTGCTGCGAATTGCGAAAACTGACACATGACGTTTGAAAAAGATGTCAGCAATCATCAAAATACCGAATAATGGGATTACTGGCACCCAATAATAATCTATAATATACACTTACAGCCAATTCACTTGTACTGTTATATGAGGGCTACCCCGTATAAAAATTCTGCACATAGTTCTTTTCGTATTTCCTCCCGACCTTTAGGTGCTTATTTATCCAGGTGAATCATGTTGTGTACTTATCTACGTATCGCTGGCAATAACAAATTGCCCTTCGATACGCCTTTCTTTACCTAAATTCGTTTGTCTTGGCACTTTTGGGTGCAGGAGCCGCCAGCGAGGGTTCCAAAATTTCTGTGGAGCACTCACTTGGCATTCTGGCTGCAATCCATATATACTAATTGGCACGGGTCATTTCCTCCGAGATGCATTCACGATTATATCCGCGATAGGCGGACCGAGCTTAATGACGTTTTTTTTAATTACTTTAATATTATTCCAAATAGCAAGAATTTTGTTTCCTGATTTACAAATCGAGTCGATTGGGTAACAATTCTAATCACACTTTTAAAGATGGAACATAACGAGCCAGGAACCCTTAAAAACGAAATAAACGTAGAAAATAGCGTTCGACCAAGCAACTGGCGACTAATAAGAACCCAAAACTATAATAAAGCAAATTTATATGCGAAGATTTTTAAAATATCAATCCTGTAAGGTGGACGATCCATCGTACAAGCCGAATGCTTCCGAAAGGAGTAAAAGGAAACCCATAAATTAAGCAACTTTTTTTTATATTTTTTTATGCATTTATTGAAAAATATTTAACATTTTTTTTAAATTTAATCCTCCTCGTCACCTTGCAGGATGGTCTTAAAACTGAAAGGTTGGAAAATAACACCAGCGCCTTCATAGAATTTGCTCATGAATTCGACCCTGAAGTAAAAGAAAAAATAAATACATTAATAAAACTAAAAGGAACCACCACTTAATTAAATCTCCAACTTACCAATGCAAACGTAGGGTATGCAAGAAAGCTGATAAACCTTCCATCATAACCATAATAGCCATGGTAAAGAATACCCAAATGGCAAAAATGAAGAAGATGGCAATGGACGCGACATAGCCTTTCATTTGCAGCGCCAATGACAACACCATGGTCCACAATACCTCAGACAATTCTGTGTAGAAATTAAAATATATATATATATATATATGGATGGATAAATTGTTATTAAAAATCAGATATAAGATAACTTACGAGCATGAGCCAATGACAAGGCCCACAGACGCAAATAGGAGGCAGTGTGAGAAATGGTACTGAGCACATATTCAATGGTGTGAATGGCTTGATGAATCCAAATTTCACTCATTGGTTCATCGTCGTGTCCCCCATGACCACCTTCAGGATCGCGATTGCTGGTTTCAGTTACCTCAACAACGACCGCTGTATCGCCTTCAATCATTTCCAATGTATCGGTAGATTTGAAATCATCGGGATGCTAGAAAAGATTTTTTTTTTCAATATTAAATCATATTGTATCGTAAAATCGATTTTGTTGTGGTAAACATAAAAGCTGCGTCGACAGCTAGAGAAGACTATAAATAAGACCATGCCTATAAATAAGGGCTCAGAGGAAAGAAAAGTAGATAATACATACAAATTCGTCGAGGGGACTTTATAACTGATCCTGAAGACTGTAGAAGAAAAAATCGGACAATGGTGTCAAATTTCTAGAAGGACGAATCGGTAAATTGGGCGCTATTTATACTGGATTACAGGGAGTGGGAGAATGTGAGACATTTTCAGACTTTTTCTGGACATTAATTCACCGTGAATTTGTTCGCTCTTCCCTTTAAAGTTATTCTTAACAAGAACTTGTCGCAATTTTTTTTTTTTTGCATTTTCATTGTCTTCTTATTCTGAATCAAGTTTGAAAACGAAAAAAAATCGCTTTGGGGAAAAATTAGTTATTGTGGAGTGCAGGTGACTATAAAAATAAAAGGTGATATTTTGGGAGCTATATCTAAATCAGATCCGATTTCCGATAATTTTGTGGCAATCTGCCTAACATTGGGTCTTTGGTGCACCATTTACTTTAAATCGGACAATATGGGAGCTATACCTAAATCTGAACCGATTGAACGAAACTTGTCACAGGTTAGGTTATACTAATTTCAGTACGTTTTGTGCCTATCGGCCATATTTTGGGTCCTTGGTGCATGACGGACGTACTTAAAATCAGATAAAAATAAATTTAGGAGCTATATTCAAATCTGAACCGATTTTCACGATATTTAACACACATCATTCTGGACTTAATTCAGCACACTATGCCAAATAGTGTGCTAATCGAAAGATATATAGACACTCTGGTGCACCATTTACCTTAAATCGGACGAAAATATACATGGGAGCTATATCTAAATCTGAACCAATTTTCACGAAACCTAACACAGATCATTCTAAACTTAATTCAGTACGCTGTGTCAAATTTCGTGGAAATCGAAAGGTATATAGGCACTTCGGTGTACCATTTACATAAAATCGGACAAAACTAACTTAACACATATCGTTCTAGGCCTAATTCAGTATGCTGTGCCAAATTTCGTCCAAATCGAAAGATATACGGGGACTTTAGTACACCATTTACATTAAATCGGACGAAAATATGTATGGAATCTATATGGCGGATGCGTCTTTTTTGAACACCTGTTTCTATACGAAGGAGTTGCCAGATCGAAACAACTTACCTGAGGTTTATGCTTGCGCGTATATTTAATATACAACGGCTTGCCGATCAACATCCATGGAATACAAATGACAGCAACAATAACAAATATCATTTCCAATTCCGTTTGGCCAGCAAACATATTTGGATCGCAACCGGGTGACACTTCCGAAGATTTAAACAGCACCATGTTGATGAACATAATCAGCACAGATGGTGCACAGCCAGGTGTGTCAGCCAAAACCTCCGAATGAGGCGAATATTTCACCCATTTGTAGAACATCATAAAGACCATGTAACCGAAAAGCAACAACAAGAATATCATTTGTGGCAAGAATTCCAAAAGAATGTTGGCATAACGCTTGAAATAGACAAAATTCACCACCGACATGCAAACACCGAACACCATATGCAGGACACCGAAAATAATCGACAGCTTCATTTTATAGGTATTCAAGAAGATGATCTTATTATCGGCAAATTGCCATATCGGATCCATGCCCATGACATAGACACCATCTGTGGCATAACGTGGATCCAAAGTTAGACCTTCTGCATTGGTGAGGACGGTGGTGCGGTTGTAACGCACCCTCCATGTTGTTCCGAAGACATTGATGGACTTTGAAAACATATCATTGTAATGGAAACCAGTATAGACGGCAAAGAGACCCATCAACAGGATGATGTAACGACCGGCAAAGAAGATATTCCAAATTTCACCACCACGCTTGCGTCCCAATTTTTTCTCATCGACAACCATCCATAAACCGAAGAGGAATAAAATAAAACCGTGACCCATATCACCAAACATCACGGCGAACAAGAAGGGGAAAGTGATACAGGTGTAGAGGCCGGGATTCGCTTCACGATACGTGGCAACACCATAAGCATCAATCAGATTTTGGAAACCACGGGTAAACTTATTGGTACGATAATAGGTTGGCGGGGTGTCATTCGTTTCAACAACATTCAAAAATGAGGGTACATGACTGCCCGCGGCCTTGGAGCCTTCGGCAAGAGCAAATTGCACAGCTGGCAAATCTCGATTTGGCACCCAACATTCACCGATCAGACATTTGCTGGTCACATCCTGATTCAGCAAATTCATCACGTGATACACGGCCTTCATTTTTTGCACCATAACAGCCCATTTGGACAATTGATTACAAACGGCCGTTAGGACACACTTACGCTGATCCTCGGTCTGTTGCAGGACCACTTTCAAATCATCCAGACGGGTTCTCAAACCCTTGATCATATCATTCCGTTCGAAATGGTCTTCGGGACAGGGATACATTGAGGCATGGAAACCGGTACAGATTTTCTTTACCCTCGATCGCAACTGTTCACCTTGGAAGAAGACAACGAATACGGTTTTGTACATAACGCTGCCAGTTTTGGGATCCTTGAGGCTCTCTTCCAATTGGGAACGTTTGACGTAGACATTACCGCGTGCCACACGCCACAGCATACGCTCAAAGGCAAATTCCCGATCACGGCTAACCACACCAGCCACAAAACCCAAGTGGCCACCACCTTGAGCGTGATGATCATCGGCATTTTTACTCAGTTCCATATTGACCACCTGTTGATCCTCGAAGAAACTTTGAGTTTTTTCCAACACCCTCAACATTTCGGTTAATTCCAAATAATTGGATTTCAATTTGACATCGTTTTGAGCCAATTCGATAATTTCCTTTTCGGTTTTCTCCAATTGGGCCTCCAAGTCGATCATTTCGCGGGGTTTAGGAGCTGGTGGAATGGCCTCGGGCTCCAGCTCAGGTATGGTTATGTCATCTTTACGGATTTCGTTTTCAATGAAACGAATTTTTCGTTCCATTTCATCGCAGCGTCTTACTTCTGAGACGAATTTTCTTTGATAGGATGTTAGACCATCGTTCATCTGCAAATTGTGGGAGGAAGAAGAAGAGTGAAAATTAAATTATAACAAAAATTGCCTTCAAAATCTCTCTTTTAACTTACATCACGAAACTGTACACATCCCTCTTCGCCGAATTGGGCAATCGTTTCATATGCCGCTTCTGGTTGCAGGAAAACCTGGCACAAGGACATTTTCTCACTGCGAAACATGTCCCCCATTTTGAGTTACTTATTTTTTCTATAAATTAAGGAAATGTTAAAAATTTTTAAATATTTTTTAGGACCTTATTTCTATTTTAAACTTACACCCCGTTCCGTTAAATAATTTCCCTTCTTTTTTCTTTTAATAAAAATTCAAATTCACCCTTTCCGTTGAGCTGCTGAAAGCCAACTGATTTCTTGTAATTGGAACAATTATCCATCAAAGAAAATGGTCAGTCAGCCAAATTGTCAAGTAGTCGCCACCAATGCAGATAATATGGAATTTTATCAAATAATTTTGTGTGTATATATTTTGTTACTATTTCTAGCCTGGCCAAATTAATAATTACCCGCTGGAGACATTACCCCGATAATGAGAAATCCAATGCGAAGTAAAAAACACATTTCAAGAAAATAAAATTGATTGATTCCAAATGTCTCACAAAAAATTTGTGTTGGTATGTGTTTTTAAGGAAATTCACTGTTATCTTTGGCCATTCGTTGCACCCTACGCTAGAGTCATGATCGATCAGATAATTGGTTAAATAGTTTGCAATGTGAATAATATAAAATATCTATTTTTTATAAAAAAGGGTGGGAATGGTGGTGGGTGATTCTCCAAATTCTGAAGAATCACAGCTGTGCTGTTCCTAGAATATTTAAAAATAAATTCTGGATATAAAGTTTAAAAAAAATCTGATTGTAATGGATCTATGACAACCCCTCGAAGACAGAATTAGTACTCTTCACTAGGAAACGTAAGATCACAAAGTTCGTTCTACCCATCTTAAAGGGAGAGGCTTTGAAGCTCTCATTAGACCACAAATTAACATGAAAAATCAATGTAGAAGGTCGCAATAAGATTGGCCTAATATCACATTACACAGAGGATTTCGCTATACTAACCTATGGGTGTCTTATGTCGAGACAGGCACTTGAAATACAAATAATATTGTCCAAAGTAATAAGTGTGCAGCGATCGTCATGGCCTCCTTATAACTGAGGACCTGAGAAATACACGCCAAGTTGCTTCAGCGTAATTACTAATATCCAATTTGGTTATTAAGTCATCCAACAACATGTGCTCTGAGACACATAGATACAGGAACGTGAGGAGACCACAACAGGTCACTGCAAGATCAGATCTCTCACATCCAATTGGGAAATCAATGGAGTGGACTACTACCGTTTATCGGAGGTTTTTGAAAAAAAATATTAAAAAGGAGGTTGTCCATTGAAAATAAAATTAAAAAAAGAAAATAGTAACCTGAATTTTTTAAATATGTTTTTAAAATGTGTGTTGATTACTTATATAATATTACTTTTTAAAAACCTGATAATCTTAAGCATAATGAATATTTTTAAAAATAATCGGCCCTTCACTTCAACAGTAGAAGTGTTTCGAACACACGCATTTTTGAAGTGTATTCCTTAACCTGTTATTTTTGAGAGTCGGGTGTATTCAAGAATATTCTGTTGAAAGAAATATTATTATAAATGAACAGAATATGGAAACAATTCAACAATAAAAAATATTCAACATTTTGTTGAAAAAAAAGGAGTAGTTCCCATATAGACACCTTCTTCTATTAAAATAGTTAGCTGATTAGTTCCGCGTGTATGGGAACAACCCATATAGACGTATTCTACAATAGTATAGGGGATATTCGTTACTCGAAATAGTCAGTTTTACCCTACAAATAATGAAATTTTAAGACGATTTAGCCATCCGCTTTCTAAGGAAATCGTGATAAAAAAAGAACCTGACGATAATGAAATATATCGGCCATCATTTAGGCATCTCCCCCCTATAATTATACCTCCTGAAGGAAATAATTGAGATACACAACTTAAATATTGCGTTCGGAATTGACATATGTCGGTCATTAATTAGTCATATCCCTCATATAATTATAACCCTAAATATTCGCTAATTCCTACAATATGTAATCTAACTTTGAAATCTAAATTTCAGTAGTTTGGGGTTTCTATTAAAAATTGTTGTTGTTGAATCTATCTGTCAGCATACCTATGGTGGAGGGTATCCAAAGTTTAGCCCGGCCGAACTTTACGCTTTTTGTATGTTTGTAACAGGCAAACAGAAACGATATAACTCCTAATATGTTTTCCTCCGATTTTAAGTAAAAGATCCAAAATATGTCCGATATGCACAAAACGTGCGGAAATTAGTATAAACTAAAACCAAACTCCTCATTTTTGTCAGATTCGCGCGAAATTTTGCACATCGTACAAAATTGAGTATAGACTGATGTAATTGTTTTTTGTAGAAATGCAGACATAGTCCTTATAGTCGACCGAATTCATGTTTTTTTTTTTTTTTTTTTGGGTTTCAAATAATCGACGAGTGTCCGACTGAGATTTGCTTTAAATCGATTTACATAATTTTGTCTCATTCTCTATCTCTATTCAAATTAAGAGTTTAGTATCGGTTACAGAATGACATGTTTATGGATTGATCTCAGTCGGTTAACATTTTAATATAGATCACATATTTTAGTTCATCCAATTTCATGTCAATGGTCCTTCGAAAATGCGACGTCTGTAAGAATGCATCTGTTGAATATACCCAAAGTGGAGAAGAGTATCATATAGTCGGCTGGTTTTTATTTCCAGCAATTTTTCATATTTTTTAATTTAAATGTTACAGCATAAAATTTGGTTGGTTTGTATCAACTACGAATACGCATTTTATGATGTCATTAAACAAAGTTTTCATGTGTTGCAAATAGAATAAAAACTTTGATATGCCCAAATATATGTATAACACTACATATTCGTATGTATATGCAATTATTTTCAACTAAAAAAATATTCTATGTCACGCAGACACAATAACAAGTGAGGATTTAAAATTAATTACTAATTGAAAATTAATTCATAATTAATCAAAAATAAATCAATCAATATTGTGTGATAAAAATCAAAGACAAATTGAAGAAGAAAACAAACAACAACAAAACAACAGAGTATTGATAAATTTGGGCTATGACCGTCGATTCCGCCTATAGCCAATGATATCACAAAGTACTTAGTTTTGTAATTTCTTCATTTGAATTTTATCGAGCACATGATAGGTAAGGTGCATTTTTTTATTTTTGTTTTAATGTTTAAAATTTTCGGACTTGGCACGCTGTACAGAACATGGGCAGTTTTCGCTTTGGCGGATGTTCTCAAGAAGTACAAAGCCGATATTATTGCCTTACAGGGAATGCGATGGAAAGGGACAGGCGTAAGTAAATGAGATGAAATGAGACATGAATTTGGCTACGGATTTATGGTTAACTGGAGAATGAAAGACCTCGTCTCCAGATTCACTCGAGTAGATGAGCGAATTGCTATAATGCGTATAAAAGCGAAGTTCTTCTACATCAGTTTTATTTGCGCCCATGCTCCGACGGAAGACAAAGTTTAATAGACCAAAGACATTTTTTACGAGCGCTTAGAAACAGCATATTACCGCTACCCTGGCCATGACATTAAAATTCTGGTGGAGGATTTGAATGTAAAAATCGAAAGGGTAAATATTTTTAGCTTCAGAAAATTCAGCCTCCATGATGAAACATCCGACAATGGTGTGAGACTGATTGTCTTAGCGGCAGCAAAAACATGGTTGTTAGTAGCACCAGATTCAAACATATCGATATACTCAAGGTCACCTGGACTTCTCCTTATCAAACAACAAGAAATCAAATTGATCATATTGCCATAGTGGGTGTTTTAGATGTTCGATCGATCCGAGCAGCGAATATCAATTCGTACCACTAACTTATAGCAGCCAAGATTCGCACTCATCTTAATGTAGCATCAAAGGTGCGATCTAACACAAAACTGAAATTCGATGTCGAAAAGCTGCAAACACAACACATCGCAGAAGTCATCTCCCCCCAACTTACCCACTTGCTAGTCGAAAGTACTCCTTGTATCCATCCAGAAACCCATGGTACGATCAGGAGTGTCGTAATGCTACCGATGTGAAAAACGCAGCCTGCAGACAGTAGCAACAAGTAATGCGAGAGAGAATTATCAAAAAAAAAGGAGAGACGAGAAACGTATTTTCAGAAAAAAGAACAAGAAAATCATGAGCGGGATCAAATCGAGATGTACAGGAATTAGAATGAAGTCCGGAAATTTTACCAACGAGTAAAACACCTCATCGAAGGCATTGCTGCAGGCATATCCTCCTGTAGAGATGAAGAAGGAAACATGGTGATAGATACAGATAGTGGATTGAGGATCTGGAAGTACCATTTTGCAAAGGTTCTGGTAGCAAATAGTAGCAATGAAGAAGATACCCCAGAACCAAGAAGAGATGACAGAATAAATTGTATACCACCCAGCCATGAGGAGGTCAGCATCCTGTATCTCGTGCACAAAAAAAGGAGACAAGACAAGATATATGCCAACTATAGAGGAATTAGTCTCCTTTCCACCGCATAAAAAGTGCTACCCAGCGTACTGCGTGAACGACTCAAGCCAATAGTCAATGACATTATTGCACCATACCAATGCGGTTTCAGACCTGGCAAATCCACCATAGACCAGATTTTCACACTGTTCCAAAACATGGAAAAGACCCACATACATATACATCGACACATTCCACCTATTCGTCGACTATAAAGCCGCATTCGACAGTCCAATCCGCTCAGAGATGTTTAAAGCCATGTCTGCATTTGGCATACCTGCAAAATTACTACGGCCGACACAATGTCAGCAATTAAAGTCGGAAAAGACCTCTCGGTGCCCTTTAATACCGAACAAGGTATATCGCCTAAACCGACGATATCGACATAATGGGTCGAACATTGCGAACGGTAACAGCTACCTTTGAACGAATTGAGAAGGAGTCTGCCAAAGTGGGACTGACAGTAAATGGCGAGAAAACCAAGCTGACGCCCAGTAGACTCGGACCAATGGAAATTGAGAACTATATCTACGAGGTATTGAATGATTTTATATATCTCGACACCGCCATAAGCAAAACTAATAACATCAGCTTTGAAATTTGGAGGCCAACAGATACTACTATGGTCTGAGTAAGCAATTCAAGAACAAGGCCACCTTTAGCGAGACCAAACTCACACTACTCCATTCGGCAAATATTGAAAAATTAGTTCGGGTAAAGCCATTGAAATTCCAAAAAGTGCAAGAACATACACCGCAAAGAATGTCGACTCAAAAGAGCTAAAGAGTTGCTTCGCTTGGCCGAAAGTGGTGAACTGCCGAATTTGGTTTTCTCCGATGAGCAAAAATCAGGTTTTAAACAAACAAAATGATGGTGTTTACTTGCCAAAGAGGTCAACTGAAAATGATTACCTTCGGTTGGCCAACAGAACTTAAGCGCCGGTCATGGTGATGTTGTGGGCCGCCACAACGCTGTCCGCTCGTATTTATCGACTGTGGCATCAGAATAAATGCCAAATATTATTGCGAAAATATTCTGGAGGGTGTATTAAAACCTTGGGCAGGCAAACATTTTGGCCGCAGATCTTGGAAATTCTAACCGGACTCAGCACCAGCGCACTAAGCACGCGCCACCCAAAAATGGTTAAGCAAGGTTGGCACTAAAAAATACCAATGTGTCGATAACCTCAAGCAAGCATTTCGCCGTGAATGGGCCAAAATACCGCACGGGTAGCGTGTGACGGTTTCATTGGCCGCTTGAAGGTCATAATTCGTGCCAAAGGTAACCAATTCGAACAAATCTAAATTTATTCTAAAATTTGATGATATTTTCGACATTTTTGCTTTCATTCAATAAAATTAAAAAAAAAACGTTTGACTTGTTGCAGTTTTTTATCTCATCCTGTATAGTGTTTCTTATTATTTCTCCTGCCAGCCTACTTATAAAAGTCCCGATCGATTTTAGGTGGTTGGCGTTCTCTTTTGTATTTATTGAATTGATTGGCACCATTTCAAATTTATTTGACCCTTTTTAAATAGCATATAAAAATATTAAACAAAAAACTCTTTAACCAATTGCTGTTTTCTCTATTTAGTTTATTAATTTTTTTTTGTCGTATTAAATCGTATTTTTTTAATTATTATTTTTTTAATATATTGCTTTTATAACATTTAATATCATTATTATCATCAAACTTGAACAAAAAAGAAATTTTACAAACAAAAACAAAAATATATCGATATTGGGAAAACAAAACAAAAAAATGAATTTTTTCTCTTTGCAATTATATATGTAACAATAAATAGTGGGAAGAGTACCACAATACTGGAATTGAATGAATTGAGAATTGGAATAATTGAAGTTGATTGGCTTATTCCTCTTCTTCGTCATCCATGATGGCCTTGAAGCTGAAAGGTTGGAAGGCATAACCCAAACCTTCATAGAATTTGCTCATGAATTCGACCCTGGAAGAGATAGAGAGAGAGAGAGAGAAAGGGAAATTAATATTCGTATAAATATATGTATGTGTGTGTATTCCAAAACTTACCAATGCAAACGCAATGTGTGCAAGAAGGCAGACAAACCTTCCATCATAACCAAAATGGCCAAGGTGAACAAACACCAGGCACCGAAAATGAAGTATAAAACAATGGCACCAGTGTAGGAGGTTTGTTTAAGACCCATGGACAAGACCATGTTCCACAATACTTCAGACAATTCTGAAATTTGAAAAATAAAGAAAAACAAACATTTATTAAATATGTTATATTTTGGAAATCCCTTTTTTCAGCAAATACTTACGAGCATGAGCCAATGACAAGGCCCACAAACGCAAATAGGAGGCAGTGTGAGAAATGGTACTGAGCACATATTCAATGGTGTGAATAGCTTGATGGATGAAAATTTCACTCATTGGTTCATCATCGTGGCTGTGGCCGCCAGCACCTTCATGATTATCGGAGGCAGTGGGCAATTGGGTTTCACCTTCATTCAATTCCATGTTGCCGGTCAATTCGCCATTGTGTGTGGCCTAAAGGAAAACAATTCCCAATTTTTTATTTAATTTTGAACAAAATTTTTGAGATTGCATTATACTTACATGAGCCTTATTTTTACGTGTAAATTTAATGTACAATGGTTTACCCAACAACATCCATGGAATACAGATCAAGGCAATGAACACAAATACTCTCTCGACGGAGGGTTGAGCATCGAACATATATTCCTTGCAGCCATCCAAGGGTTCGGTGTGTTTGAACAACATCATGTTAATGAACATAATCAACACAGAGGGGGCACAGCCAGGTGTGGTCGGCTGCAAATCACTAGTGGCCGAATAGGTTACCCACTTGAAGAACATCATGAAGACCATGTAACCGAACAACAAGACCAAGAACAAAATTTGTGGCAAGAATTCCAAAACAATGCTGGACATACGCTTGAAATGCATGAAATTCACCACAGACATGCACACGCCGAAAATCATGTGCGCAACACCGGTAATGATGGACAACTTCATTTTGTAGGTGTTCAAGAAGATAATTTTATTGTCGGCCATCTGCCAAATGGGATCCAAACCAATGGGGTAGACACCATCAACATGGTATTGTGGGTTCAACTGCAGTGAAGGATTGGTGATAACGGTACTGGTATTGTATTTGGGTGTCCATGTCGAACCGAAGATGTTCATCGATTTGGAGAACACATCGTTGTAGATGAAACCAGTGTAGCAGGAGAAGATACCCATAAGCAAGATGATGTAACGGCCACCGAAGAAAATGTTCCAGATTTCACCACCCTTCTTGCGGGCCAACGACTTCTCGAACATACACATCCAGGCACCGAACAAAGTCAAAATGAAACCATGACCCAAATCGCCAAACATCACAGCGAACAAGAAGGGGAATGTAATGCATGTGTACAGGGCCGGGTTACACTCACGGTAGGAAGCAATACCGTAGGCATCAATCAGGTTCTGGAAACCACGGGTAAACCGATTGGTACGATTGAATGTTGGTGGCTGTTCGTTGGTGTCGATGACATTCAAGAACGATGGAATGGTACTGCCCACAGCAGCAGAACCATCGGACAAGGCCTTCTGGACAATTGGCAAATCCTTGGTGGGCACCCAGCACTCACCAATCAAACATTTCTTGGTCACATCCATGTTGAACAGATTCAAGGTGTGATAGATGGCCTTCATTTTCTTGACCATAATCGACCAGGATGGCAGATTCTTTGAGACGGTAGCTAAAACACGGCTACGGTGATCTTCAGTTTGGCTCAAGACCAATTTCAAGTCTTCCAAACGCGTACGTACGCCCTTGACCATTTCTTCGCGTTCGGTGTGCGAGCTGGGGCAGGGATACATGGATGCATGGAAACCTGTGCACACTTTCTTAATGCGATTCTTCAATTGTTCGCCCTGGAAGAAGGCCACAAAGACGGTCTTATAGATGGGATGACCAGTGGCTGGATCATTCAAAGGTTCATCCAAATCGGAACGTTTCAAGAAAACATTACCGCGTGAAATACGCCACAGCATACGTTCAAAGGCAAAGACACGTTCGCGATTGATAACACCGGCAACAAAACCCAAACGACCGCGACTTTGTGCGGCAACATCATCAGCACCACCACGATTGCTGCTGTCCAAATTCAAAACTTCCTGATCGGAAAAGAAACCCTGTGTGTTCTCCAACACCTTGCGCAATTCGGTCAATTCCAAATAGTTCGATTTCAGATTGACTTCGTTTTGGGCCAACTCGAGAATTTCATTTTCGGTCTTTTCCAAATGGGCTTCCAAATCGATAATTTCTCTTGGATTCGGTGCTTTGGGTATGTCATCGATGATATCGGGCATAACAATACCATCTTTCTTGATTTCGGCTTCGATGTAACGGATTTTGCGTTCCAATTCATCGCAACGACGCACCTCGGTGACGAATTTACGTTGGAAGGCGTTGACACCGCTGTTCAACTGGAAGGAGAAAGAAAAGAAGAAAGGTAATTAAAAATATGTTAAGGCATCATTCGGTTTGTAACACATCGATATAATCATTTCTTATAAAATTTATATTCTAAACATAAAATTCTAAGATTAGCCATGTCCGTCTAAAAGAGTTGTGATTGGATGCTGAAATTTTGTACACTTAATTTAGACTTCCCTACAAAAAGAAAAAACATTTAGGTTACCCCCCAGAAGCAATTTTCTCCTCCTTTTGGAATAGCTTCCGCATTACGACATCTCCTTATTTTCAGTGTTCTGTTGATTTTGTTTTCCAACCAAATTATCTGTATTTTTCATATAACGGTACCACACTATTTTCAGGACGTTTTACGTATTATGTAGACATGATTCCCAACAGAATTGGCTGTAATTTACAATCTTTGGTTCTGATTGGGTGGCATATTTTCTTATCAAAAAATCTATATAGGTCAAATTTTATGTAAATTCTCCGTATTTTGTTTCTATATCCTGAGTCCTGGTGGGGTAGCAAATTGGTTGCAATTTAGTATTTATTGTGCCCAGTGCCTTGACAAAGTGGAATCTCTTACCTAATATCAAAATCAACCCAACCTATTTTTACGTTTGCCCATCCATTGTGGGTTGATCCTTGATATTAATTAAATAAACCCCTTTGTTGCATTTAAACGCCATAATTTGCGAAAAACGTTGTTAAGTTGTCATGAGTTAGTATGTTAGCCGCTGTACTATGTACAAAAGTACAGTGGTTACCTTAATTACTACCATGTTATGTTAAATACAAAAAATGTTGCATACTTTTAGGGGTTTATATGTTAACTGGCGTTTTCATTGATTCACTTGGTATAAAATAATAAAAATGTTGTTTATCGACTATATTCTATGTATATACGCGATTTTACTATATAATAAGGTTCTTTAATATTATAGAAATTAGTTTTAGACTATATTTATTATTTTTCAGTTAATGCAAAGATTTTGTTTGGGCATTTTCTACCCAAAAAATTTGATTGGTATTGCCTGTAATTCAAGCTTATGTCTCTATTATGACTCAAAAACTTGTAAAATTCTCTTATCACAAACAACATCTCCTATTTAATTAATAATGAAAACTTGATGTTTAATACTTACATCACGAAATTGTACACAACCGGTTTCACCTAATTCAGATACTGAAGTATAAGCTGCTTCTGGCTGTATAAACATCTGGCACAGGGCCATTTCTTCACTGCGAAACATGTCCCCCATGATGAAGGCGTTTTGAAATTAAACCCTGGAAATAAAACAAAATAAAATAATAAAAATTAATATTCATATTTAAAAAATAATATTAAAATAAAATATATATTGGTATATGTGTGTGTGTATTTTGCACTTATTATTATGGGCAATTGACAAAAACATTTGTCTAATAAATGTCTATCGGTGGCTAATATTTTTCTATGATGCGTGTAATATGTTTTGTATATTATTTAAAAATTTTCGGTTTGTTGTTGTTATTAGTGTATATTTTTTGAGTGACAATGATAATATGTACTTTGTGCTTTATTGCTTACAGTCACGATGTCATAAAAATTGGAGGTGCTGGGAATGTCAAATTCAAAAGAAAATAACAAAAATATTGAATATTTTAAGAGGTGTAGCGGACGGACCATTAATCATTTTTTGTATCAAATAAAAAAAATTAAATCGATTCGAACTAAAAAAATAGTAAATACAATTACCAACCCTCGTATATTTTTGCAATTGATTACCCAACTGATTACCTTTTAGCAATTGTTACCCAAAAATAAAACAAATAACCACAAATGTTACGTTTTTTTTGCCATAATTTGTGTTTGAGATTTGTATATCATTTCTGTGTGTGCAAAATCACATTTCATTAAAATTCGTTTTTGTCTGTTCATTTAGTTGTTGGCCGTATGGTGGGGTACCTGCAGTTAAAAATATACAATTCGTTTTGTATTTTATGGTTTGCATTTTTATGATCTTTTTTTATCTTAGTAAAAAAACAAACAAAAGACATTTTTGCTTGTTAAAAATGAAAAAATTTGCTCCACTAGGTAACTTAAGGTGAGTAGCAACAAAGCAACTCTGTATGTAGTGGCTTCTCCTGTCAAATGACAAAAAAAACATAAGCCACAAGTGGTTGTGTTTATTTGACATTTTTTCAAAACAAAACTAAAAAAGCGAAAAATTAATGAAAGGTTGTGATTTCTTCCCAAATCTAGTTGGTCATAAACGATAATTATTTGCTCTAAATCCTCTGCGTAATCGAGATAATCTCAAATACAACACTGTAATTTTTCTAAAAGTATAAAAGCAACGCGAGTCGATTTAAAATATACAGTCTAAACGTGTCTATATTTTCACTTTTTGCGGTAATTTAGCAGCACTTTTTAATAGCCTATGGACCATGATGCAATAATAAGGTGATGTATCAAAACAAAAACATTTGTTTTTGTCTCGACCTTCTGTCAAACTTTTCCTTATAATATTTAAAAAAAAAGTTGGCAGGATTGCACATCGAATTGAAGTAGAAATCACGCACTTTGACAGTTAATCAAGACATCAGCTGCCCTGACTAGAATAATGGGCGTGGCCATGATGCAATAATAATGTCATGTGTCAAAACAAAAACATCTGTTTTATCTAGTAATATTTCTCATGGTTGGCAACATTGCATTTCGAATTCAAGTAGAAACCATGGTATAATTATTACAAGGTAGAGCATAATTTCTCGAGGTGGCTTGTTCTATCGAAATACATATGTCAAAATACATGTTGTGTGAATAGTATAAATTCAGAATAAATTGAAATATATTTAAATTTAGTTCCGTTCCAGAACCTAAAAGATTCTACTCATTTTACATGTTTTGCTCGAAACCCGTTCCTCAATCCACAAAACTGGTAAAACATTGACTCAAATTTAAGAGAGCACAAAAGAAAATGGCGTTCTCTTTTTAAACTTTTTACTCGAGAAATTTGGTCGAGTAAAAATGGTAAACAGGAATGCCTACTTCTGATTGGGTGTTACGTTGATTTCGAAGTATTGTCATCTAATTTTGGCATATTTACTAGATTTGCGTTCCCGAAATTATTTTGTACTCTGAGAGCAATTTTGAAATGTTTCCCTTTTACTAGATTTACTATTAAAAAAGTACTGGAACAGACCATTTAATTGAAATGAAAATGATTTTTGTTATGTATGAAACAACACTTCAGGGTATTCCCTACATACAGAGTTGCATTTTTGTTATTCATTTCAAATTGTCCTAACTTGTGTTATTGTACCATGGTAGAAACTATGCACTTTGACAGTCAATACGGAGAGTCATCATTTCTTTGGAATAGTTTCTGTGTCCCCACTTTGCCTTCTGCAATTTGTCTTATTTTTATGACACAATTTGTTTTGCACTTGTTTTTTTAATGCAAATATTTACAAACCATAATACCATTTGTAGTTTGTATAGTTTTATGATTCTCTGTATTTCTGCGAAATTATTCATTGAATTTATCGACAATTAAATTGTCATTTAACAGCTCATATGTTTATGGTTCGTTCATATGGACATAAAGTTTTTCCATTTTTGTTGTTGTTGCTGATTTCAATTATCTAACTATTTATGACGCATTTCATGGAAGGAAAGCAAAGAAAAAAATTAATTTTATTTTTGGGTGATTTATTATCAACTAACCCAACCAATGAACCCAAAAAATAGGGAGTATTTTTGGGTGCAGAGTTTTATAATTAGTTTATATGCGTACTCGCCCTCAATGATACTCCATATATACACAAATGAAGATAAATAAATAAAATTACATATCTTTATATGGCATAAAGTAACTTTTATATTTCATATCTTATCAATAAATTAATACGAATAATAAAAAAATGTGGGGGAAATGCACATGAATTCGGGAAAAAATCCCAGAAAAATAAATACGGGCTGAATCATTCGAAAATTAAGGAGCAAAACAAAGACCAAATGACGTTAATAGTAATTGTACATTTAAAAATTTCAATTGTCATCTCCATTGTAAAAAATAAATCCTCATAGAGTAGAAAAAAATACCTAATGTAAATGCCGTTTAAGTGTACCCGTATCAGGAAATGTTTTATTTTGCGAACTTAGAAATTCAAAATTATGGTGAAATTTTTACTAACAATTTTCTCTCTCTATCTCTCTCTCTCTGAAAATTTCCATGTACATATGTCACACCTTAAAGGGTTAAACTAAATATAAAAATATATGTATTCAATAAAATTACTTTATTGCCTTTAATTTGTTGTTAATTATTATTACTATTTTTCCCTTCATCGAAATATTTGTAAATTTTCCACAATATTTGTCTAATAACGAAGGCTAACACAACATTTGGTAGCAGCAAATGGCGTGACATGCAAACATGACCAATACTTAGTTTGGTAATTGTAAGCAATAATGCAATAAAAAATCCATTGAGTTAACAATTTAATTAGACAGTAGTTTTAATAAATGGCAGGATAATTGTTTTGTGTACTTTACAATTTTAGGGATAGGAGAGACAAACTTCAAACTTCACAGTAAAATTGCTTAGATATCAAATCAATGGTAGTGTAAACATTGTACAAAAATACAAGGCAGAATATCTTCAGCAACAAAAAGCAACTCTGTATGTAGTGGCTTGTTTCGTCCGATATAAAATAAATATACGTAACAAGTCGTTGTGTTTATGTGATTATTTTTTCTCCATATATAACTAATGAAATATAATAATATTATGTAATAGTTCGTGGCAACCCTTCTTAAGGTGGAATTCATATATCAATTTCAAATAAAATGAAAAATAAATTCCATAAAATGTTAGGCATGACAATTGACAAATTTTCAACAAATTAAAAAAAATAGTTCTCAGGATTTAACTAAGAATGTTATAACGTACTACAGTTAACCGGATTTCGTTAACCCAGTCAATTGTCATTTCCTTTGCATATATGTCAAATAAATCCTCATCAAGTGGGTTAACCGGGTAAAGAATTCTAATGTTTATGCCGTTTTACAATTTATATTTATGTGTTTTATAGACAGGGAACTTAAAATATTAATTAAAATAAATGATTCAAATTTGAGTCCAAATATAGAACTTTCTGTTACACAAAGTCTGACTTATAATACGTTTACATTGTACAGGATTTAGTTAACAAATAAAGTAGGTTATAACGGTCATTGATTTAAGTTAATTTTTTTGATTTTTATGATAATTCAGTATTAGAAACATTTCCTTTAGTCAGCGAATCTTACATTATCGATCTATAGACATCTGCACCATTTGCAAGAATCTCAACTGACATTCTTGACTAATAGTACGTTTACATTGTACTGGATTTTGTTATGTCAAATAAATCCTATTAATGCCAAATAAATCCTCATAAAGTAGGTTAACCTGGTAAAAAAATTCTAATGTAAATGCCGTATAATTGCTGAACAACAGTTTGAATTTTTTTGCAGTGAAACTTCCCAGAAATCATCTCAAAGGTAATGTTTGAAAATGTTTATGATTAATTTGTGAATTATGAAATAGGCCTGTTATTAATATCAGCTGACTGACTACATTATATAATTTTAATAATAATCTAAACAGCTAGAATTTAGCTCCTGTTTTACAAATCCAATCGATTTACCTATTGCCTTTGATTTTATATAAAGTTTAACAATAATTCAATATTACGATCCCTTCACATAATTTCGATCTATAGAGACCTGCAACAATTTGCAAGAATCTCAATTGGTATTCTTGACTAATTATCTATCTTTTTGCTCGACAACAATTTCAATTCAATTGGCAACAACAACAAAAAATGCCATCAAATAAGAAAACAAAACACAAAAGGCAATAGAAATACAAATATTTTTCTTCTTGTTGTTGTAGTATTGTATTTTTAATTACTTAATTAAGTTATCAAATTTTGTGATCTAAACACAGCTGTTTTTTTTTTTGTCGAAATAAATAAAACAAATATTAGCTAATTTATATTTATATTCATAGATCGAATTGAGAGGTTAAGGTTAATTGGACTATATACACGAGGCCAAAAAATATGACAAAGTAAGTACTTCTATTTCGAAAATAGATTTTTAGATTATAGTACGTTTAGATTTACGAATTCCACTCGATCTCAAATATCAATTCCATTGCTTATACGTCAAATATAATCCATTGGATTATCGATTTATATTAAATCATTATTGAAATCACAATACTAATGAAATGCAACACTGGTTTTGCACTGCGAAAAATATATA